GCCACAGTTAGGGATTTGTTGTCTCATGGGGAGATAGACAGTAAATAAAAACATATAATATGGTAGATGGTGTTAAGAGCTGTAGAGAAAAATGAATTGACAAGTGTGGTACAGGCTTGCAGGAGGAAAGAGATTACAGTTCATAATTAATAGAAGGTTTCTCTGGGACGGTGGCATGTGAGCAAAGACCTGCAGGAGGTGAGAGAAGACACCAGGTTGTCTGTGTCTTGGGCAGAGCGAATGTCAGGGAGGCAGGAGCATGCCTGGTTTGTTCGGGGGAAGCAAAGAGGCCAGTCAGTGAGGCGAGAGGGGAGAGAGAGTAAGAGAGGAAGTGTATGAAACAGAGTCAGAGGTGTATCAGGGTGAGAACGAGATCATGTATGGTCTTCCCATCCCTGATGAGAACTTTGACTTTCATTATGCAGAAGCAGGGAGGCCACTAGAAGACTTTACACAGCGAAATAATACAATCTGAATTATGTTTCATCAAGAGCATTTTGGTTGTTAAAAAGAGGATTTAAGTTAGAAGGTTGCTGCCAAGACTATAGTTGACACAGGGCTGTTTTTTGTTTTGCAAAGGTGGGCAGTGGGGAAATGGTGAGGATCAGTAGCTTGCATTTAAGCATGTTAAAGACATCGAAGGAGAGTTGTCAACAGCCAGTTAGACACCCAAGTCTGTGGTTCTGGGCAGAGGTCTGGGCTGGAGTTCTAACTATGTGAGTTGTAAACATAAAGATGGTATTTATAGCCAAGAGACAGAATGAGATCAAGTAAGACAGTGAGTGTTGACAGAAAGGGGAAGACATGTAAGAAAGAAACCTGGAGTCACTCCAATGTTAAAGATTTGGGCCATGAGGAAGAATCAGCAAAGGAGACTGAGAAGTAGGGGCCAGAAAGGTAGGAGAAAAAACAGGTTCAGGCTTGAGAGGAGGAGTGAAGAGTCAACTGTGTCAAGTGCTGACTATGGGAAAATCAGGTGAGGACTGAAAACTGATTGCATCTGATGAGCTTGTTCAGCCTGTTAGTTGTTCCTTAATCTCACAGCTCACTCCTTCGAAACTCACCCAAACTTATTTTTTACATCACTCCTCACCCTACCCCCAGCGTACATATCCACTTCTTTGCTTCTTCTGACAGAAATCATGCAAGCATTCACCACCTGTTTCCTGGATCAAAGCAGCAAGAGACCCAAATGCCAGTCGGCCAATGCAGAAACCGCACAAAGGGAGAGGAATTAGAAGGAAAGCAAAGGCTGTGAATTTTGATAACTATATATTTTTAAAAATATTTTCGTGTTTGTTGACTAAAAATAACCATTCAAATGCACCAGCTATCAAAGAAATACAGATTAAAAATAAACTGGCCACCATTTTTTTTGCAAATCAAATTGGCATTTTAAAAAGCATATCCCGTATGGGCAAGACTTAGCAGACATTCCCAAATACCACTGGTGGAAGTGTTAATTGGTAAAACTTTTCTAGAGGGCAATTTGGCAATATATAAGAATAATTTTTTATAAGTTCCTTCTTCACATTTTTTGGTCCAGTAATTCTGCTTTTAGCAATTTATCCTATGGAAATAATCAGAATGTACACCAAAATTTCCATGAAAGAATGCTCACTTCTGTGTTGTTTCTTAAAGAATTTAGGATATGGAATTCTATAGGATTCTGTATTCTTATAGAATATTGAAACCTCTGTGTGGTTTGCTATAGAATCCATAGGATTAAAATGGCAATGAAAATAATTTAATATTTAACATTGAAACCTGAGTTAATAAATTATGAGTCACAAAAGAAATACTCTTCAGATAGAAGTATGTAAATGATATGAGAACATGTTAAAGTATTGTCAAAGTGAAAAAAAAATCAAGCTATAAAATGGTACTTAAGATTCTGTTTTTGTAAAGAAAGGATAGAAAAATTAGAAATATATCCACTAAAATCTTAATAATTATTTTCATGCACGTGTTTGGACATACTGAAGTTTTTAATTCATTCAGAAATATTTACCAAGAGCCTACCCCGTGGCAGGCACTTGTCCTGGGTGCTTGGGACTCATCAGTGGAAACTGAGCATTGCTGACCTTGCAGTGCTTACATTTTATCAAGAGGGATACAGACTGTAGATAATCATATGAAGGGATTATACGTCTTTTAGAATGCTGTGCTAGAGGAAAAACACGGAATTGAAAAAGAAGGGTTGGGAGGGGTATGGGTGCAATTTAAAATAAGATGGTCAAGGTCGATCTCACTGAGAAGGTGGCATTGGACAAAAACTTTTTGGAGTTAAAGGAATTGACCATGTGAACACTGAGGAAAATGTATTCAAAGTAAAAGGATCAGCAAATGCGAAGGCCCTCACTTGGGAGTGTGCCTGATGTGTCTGAGGATCAGCAAACAGGCCTGTGCAGCAGGAGCTGAATGAACATGGTAGTAGGAAATAAGTCTAGAGAGCAACCGGGAGCCAGACTACAGGGAAGCTACGGCAAGGCTTTGGCTCTGTTGAGAATAGACAGGTAAGAAGCTATTGCAGTAATCTAGATGAGGGATGATGGCGTTGAGATAAAGAGGAAATAGTAAGTACAATAAAAATTTGTCTGATTCTGGATATATTTTGAAAACAGAACCAATAGAATTACTTGATGGTTTGGATACAGGAGATAAAGAAAGAGAGGCTTTCAAAGTTCTTGGCCTGAATGATGGAGAGGATAAAGTTGTTATCAGTTGAGACAGAAAAACAAATACAGCAGGTTTTGGGTGGTAACTGGGAGATCAGGACTTGAATTTCGCACATGGTAAATTTCTGCAAGGGGGGAACGTCCAGGAGGCAGCTGGCTAGGAAAATATGAAGTTCAGAGGATATGTCTGTACTGGAGAGAGACACTTGGGAACTATTAGCCTATGGATGGTATTTGTAGTTAGGAAAACGGGTAAATGGCTGGGCATGGTGGCTTACACATGTAATCCCAGCACTTCTGGAGGCCAAGGCAGGCAGATCACCAGAGGCCAGGAGTTTGAAGCCAGCCTGGCCAACATGGCGAAACCCTGTCTCTATTAAAATTACACAAAATTAGCCAGGTGTGGTATCACGTGCCTGTAATCCCAGTTACTAGGGAGGTTGAGACAGGAGAATCGCTTGAACCCAGGAGGTGCAGGTTGCAGTAAGATGAGATTGCATTACTGCATTCCAGCCTGGGTGACAGCGAGACTCCATCTCAAATAAAAGAAAAAAAGAAAAAAAACAACATGAGTGAGCTCACCAAGGGAGTCAGCATAGAGAAGAGGTCCAAACACTGAGTCCCGGGGCACTCCAACATCAGGGGCTTATGGAGACAAGTAACAGTGAAGTGGCTGCCGGTTGAGAAAGTGTCAGCAAGAGAGGAGAAAAGAGTGTTTCAAATGCTGCCTGTAAGTGAAATAAATTGAGAAGTGAGGGTTGATCACTGGAATTCACAGTGTGGAGGTCAGGGCACTAATGACCTTGAAAAGTGTGGTTCTGGAGAAATGGCTCCAGTGAGAAATGGAAGGGGGGAATTGGACACTAAGTATAGACAACTCTTTTGAGGAATTTTGCTGCAAAGGGGCTTCGAGAGTTGGCCATGGCTGCCTGGGAAAGCGACATCTACAGAAGAATGGGTTTTGTTTTTGTTTCTGTTTTTCATTTCTAGATGGAATAAATAGCAGCATGTTGGCATACGATAGAAATCTGAGTCAAACCACTGTGATCATTAACATCCTCAAGTTAGTAAGATGGCAGCAGATGGTATGGTTGGAAGGTCACCCAAGGACTACCTGGACGACAAACCTCTAGTTTGTTGGTCTGGTCTATTCTGCTGCTTAAAATTTGTAACTCTTTCATCTCTGCATTGCCTCAGGAGGTCACGTTTAAAATATAATCGTTTAGGGTCAGGACAATCTCACAGATTGGTGATTATTAAGGTAAATAATCTTGCTCCATCCCCCTGCCCCACCTGACATACATATATATATACACACCAAGAAGCCACTCACCCCCCATGGGAGAGCCTGCGGCTTAGAATCTCAGAACTGCAGATTCAACAAAACCACAAAATGCTCTGAATCTGTGCTAGGAAAATCTATTTTGCCACAAAAAATAGAAAGAAAAATCAGCCATTTGACCCTACTCTTCAAAGAGCTTAGTAACCCAGGAAACCAAAGTACCTCTTATTTGCTGTCCCTTCTCTATGATTATAAAGAGAAAAACCCAGAAATCAACTTTGGACCTCTCTGTATTGTAAGGCCCTGTATGCCTCAGACCAAAGTCAAACCTTAAATTTGAGGATCCACCCTGACTCCCTGCAGGACATGGCTGTGCTCCTCCCACACACGTAACATTCCAACACGATGATATCTGCTCTTTCTCCTTCCCATTCTCCTTCCTTCCTTCTTTCTTCTTATAAAAACCAGTTCTCAGAAAGGAATCCTAGAACCAATGGTGGTTTAAAACTGGCAGGAGCTTTTGTATCAGTTCCCATTTTACACATAAAGAAACTGAATCTCAGGGGGGTGAAATTTGCCCAGAAGCCAATCTCCCATTAAAAGTCCAAAAAGTTTGATCGATTCATTTATCAAGTGTACTGATTGCTATGTTCTCTGTCAAAGTCAAGTCCTAACAGAAGCCATTGCCTTGAGTCAAAGAGTGATGGTGAAAAATGGGAAGGGAGGACAGCAGGCAGTGGAGTGGGGGATGCTGTTGTTTTAGCAGCAGGACAGCGTTTTGGATGTTTGATATGCATCAACAGCTCCTTTCACCTGTCTCTGATTTATGAGTAGTGATTCTGAACCAGGGGTGATTTCGACCTGCAAGGGGACATTTGAAAAGTCTGGAGGGCATCTATGGTTGCCACAACTCTGGGGGGAAGATGTTACTGACGTTTAGTAGGTAGAAAACAGGGATTCTGCTAAACATTCTACAGTATACGGGACAGGTGCCTCGCCGCTCCCTCCTCCAACAATACACATATGACCCCAAATAACAATAGTTTTAAAAGCTCTGGTTTACTCTGAAGTGAAAGGACGAGAGGGGAAAAGGACATTACCAAAAACTGGTTCTGGAGAAGTGTTCCACATAGAGCTGTTCATCAGAAAAAGGGGCCAAGTGGATGTCGCTGAATGTCAGGAACACCATTCCTAATGAGCAAAACACAACAGACCCAGAAGTCAACTTCCACTGCTTTCTGATTGAAGCTGTACTCACCTGCCACCTGAGACCAATTCCATTCATTTGCTTCAGTTATGACACGACAGGATAAAATATACTTTTATCTCAATGTAAGCATAAAAAATTAGGCAGAGGAGTGGAGGGGTTATAGAAAATAATATCAAAGCAAGTCACAAAGCTATACAGTGATAAACTTGCAGAGACTCAGGCAAGCTGTTTAACCTGGCAGTTGCCTTGTCACCCACTAGCTTTTTTCCTTTCTGTATGTCCTGCAGATTCTGGGTACATTCATTCATTCATTCATTTACGCATTCAACATCTTACTTATTGTAAAAATAATTTAGCTTTAAAAACAATCAAAATCCCATCCTCCCATCACATTATTTTTCTCACTCTCAGACTTCATACATAGAGAATCAGATCAACCACCTGTCTTTTTAGGTGCTGTTGGGATTTATGCTCACATGGATGCTTACCAATCTTCATGCTGGGAAATACACATGTGTGCTTAGTTCTTGGCACCCACAATCACCACAGGAAAGGTAGATCCTTCAGTGGGGAAATAAGCACCTAGATTGGCATGCCTGAAGTAGGGCCTTTCTGAGTAGGCAGACCTGACAATCAGCATTGTTACTCTTGCAATTTTAGGGAAAATCTTTTTATAGCCATTAATTAAATTGTACGTGGAAGAAAGAGGAACTATTAACTATATTTCAGAAATAGAGCTGACTTAAGACACCAGAGAGGCTGTCATAAAAACAACAATAATAGCTAAAATTTCTCAGTTATGATAACCTTATCATGTACTTTCTCAAGGGGTTTCCATGCATTAATTTATTTAATTCTCATACCAACATACAGTGGGTTCTATTATTATACCCATTTTATAAGCAAGAAAACAGAGAAATGTAAGTGACTTGGTCAACATCAAGAGCTAACAAGTAGTAGAGCAAAATCCAGGGATGGAATCTCATCTGATAGTCAGTGCACATCCTTAAACTACGTGGCTTTTCATAAACAAAACAGATTATTTTATTTAGGGTATTTTCAGAAGTGGCCAGGGTCAAAGCATGATTATAACCTCATTCATATGTCCCCATCTAAATCTCAGGCATTGGTATCAAAACAATAATGATTACTTGGTGGTTTTTCAATTTCAAGATGACGGATGGATATTAAATAACCTCAGCGAAGTAATATGTATCACTGCTTGTGTAAACTCGGGAAGCTTTAGAGGATGATGTTATGAGCCTCGACCTAATAGGAATTCCAAGAATGTCAGATACAATGGAGGGGAGAAAATCAAAGGTAAAATATTTTGAAAATTCCAAGAGAAGAAAATCGGCCTCCTGATTAAACATATTCACTGAATTTCCAGCACAAGAACTTAAAAAAGATTCACACTAGAACACTAGAAATAAAGAGAAGATACTAAAAGTATCTAGAGGGGAAAACTATGTCACTCTAAAGAAGCAGAAGCCAGAATGGCAGTGGACTTCTCAATAGCAACATTTGCAGACAGAAACCAAACACAAAAAACAAAATACCAAACTTTAAAAATATTGAGTAAAAATTGTTTTTAAGTTAAATTCTTGACCAAATAATAATACAAGAAGTTGATAAAAGTAATTTCTTGGCTAGGCTAGGTGGCTCATGCCTGTAATCCCGGCACTTTGGGAGGCCAAGGTGGGTGGATCACTAGGTCAGGAGTTTGAGACCAGCCTGGTCAAGATGGTGAAACCCTGTCTCTACTGGAAATACAAAAATTAGCTCAGTGTGGTGGCACGTGCCTGTAATCCCAGCTACTCAGGAGGCTGAGGCAGGAGAATTGCTTAAACCTGGGAGACGGAGGTTGCAGTGAGCCGAGATTGCACCATTGCACTCCAGTCTGGGCAACGGAGCAAGACTCTGTCTCAGAACAACAGCAACAACAAAATGTAATTTCTCAAGCTTTTTTTCTCCAGAAGCTCGTAGAGAATATCCTTTGCTGAAATGATGTCGTAAACTAACAAAGAGGGAGACAAAAGAAGGATGATGGAAACTCAAAGTATGGCAGTCATGCAATAGGGCTGAAGAGCACCCAGTTCATGTTGCTAGAGAAGGCCAGAAGACTACTGAATGGAAGGGAGCAACAGAAGAATACATATTGATAGGCATCTGTCAGATCTATTGGAGCATGGAAACACTTAGCTATGAATCCATAAACACTAAGCTTATAAAAGAAACCAAGACAATTAACTCTGGGGAAAACAAAAGATTGTATGAGAAAACACACATAAGCATAGAGCATCTAATATACCACCTGACTCAGCACTCGACAATAGTTACATTATAACACTGTAAACATCGATTCTTGATTTAACCAAATAATGATCTAGATCTATATTTCTTTATGCTAAATTCTGAGATCTGAAAAGCAACAGATTTTTCTAAGTTTGCAGCAGCATCATTTGATGGCAAAACCTAACCTGAACTGACACGAGAATTTATTTGTAATCCTTATTTATTCCACTTGGTATCAGTATTCATATGTTTTGTTGCAGGAATATAATGTGTTTCATTACAGAGTGTTACCTCAGATCCCACTGGGAGAATTAAGTAATACGTGGCATGTGATTGTATTAACTTTCGAAAGTCCTTCAGATTCTGAATTCTGAAGTATATCTGGCCCCAAGGGTTGGGATAAAGGACTGAGGACCTATCTAAACATATTGAGAGGATGGGGGCGGGGCAGGTACATCAGGAAGGAAGGGGCTGCTATTCAGGAAAGCTAAATTCTCAAGCAGAGAGTGACAAGAATAACAATCTAATCATCTTCGATAGGAATATGTGGGTAAATAATAGAAGAAACAACAGACAAAGTTGAAAGTGGTTGCCTTTGGGGAGCAGTCTGAGGATAGAAAGAGGTGTGCAGTAGGCTACTATTTTTCATTATAAGCCTTTTTATTATTAACTGATGTTTTAAACTATGTCTTATTTTGATGGAATATATAAATAATTAGAAAAAAATCAATCACTCTTCCCCGAGGAATACACAGGCTAGAAAGCCAATAAAATCAGTATTCATTTCTACTTCCCTAAGGACATATAGCCCAGTATCAAATGTCATATCCATTTCAAATATCCGGGGAAAAAAGATACCCAGATATTATCTAAATACTCAGCTTAAGAGGGGCTCAGTTGATGCACATTAATGAACTACATTATAAATCTCATCATACAAAAGCACCTAACCCTCTGAAAAAGTACAGGAAAAACACTATAAAAATTCTTCCTGGGGGTGCTGAGGAGGAAACCCAAGCCACTTTGTACCCTGATTTTCATCTCCAATGGTTCAATTTTGTTGCATACACACAAGGCTTCCCAGAGCACCCCAAGATTGCTAATGAAGTTCCTGACATCAGGTGTACTTTGCCTGAGCTTATTTATTTTTATACGAATTTTCTTTTGGTGCCTATTTCTGAATTTTGAAGCATGTAGGAAATTATAAATAAACTTCAAACTTCACTTATATGCATGCTGGTATCTATGAGTTGCATGGTTGTCCACTATTTTGTTTTCATTGAATCTTAAGGTAGGGAGCCACAACATTGGTAATTTAAGTAAATAAAATTGGGGTAAGAAGCTGCAATTCTCCTGAGAGATGCAACTTCTAAAATTGGCCAGTTATCATCTATGCCTTAATTGAAAACACCCTCTGGTGGTAGGTGTCTACTTTCTCTGGTGAAGAGTGGAAAGTTAGTGTGTGCGCAGAGGTCATGGGTGGAGGCTTCATTGTCAGATGGACGTAGGCTCCAGTTCTTGGCCTGCCAATTATTAAGTGTTTGTTCTTGCCAAGTTACTTTTTCTCAAGTCTCAGTTTTCTCTTTATAAAATGGGATCATAACAATACCTGCCCCCCACCCCCTGCTAACCCAGGTCTCAATCATACACAATTGTCATTTTGGGCTAGATAATTCTTTGATGTAGGGCACTGTCCTATATACTGAAGGATGCTTCACAGCATCTCTGTCCCTATTTACTAGATGCCAGTACCCCAGCCTCTGCTGCCACTGTGACAACCAAAAATGCCTTCAGACATTGTCAAATGTCCCTTGGGGAAGGTTGCAAAATTAGCTTCAAGGCTAATCCCTCAAATAAACTAAAAACTTTAATCAATCAGACTTTTTAAGGATTTTATAAAATAATTTATTGAAATTGCTTAGCACATGCAGTTGCTTGGAAAGCACAAAAAGCATATTGGATTTAATATTATCTTGACTATGTCTAGTGACCATAGACAGAGAGAGAAATACAGTAGGGAAAAATATGTCAAAAAGAACAAGTGGACCTCAGAGAGTTTCTCACATTATGAAGTCCAACACTTGAAAGGGCTTTAGAGATTATGTGTAATAGTGTCTTTATACAAATGAGGAAACCAAAGCCAAATGGTCAAGTGTTAGCCCAAGTTCATTAACGAATGAAGGGATTGAACTAGGACAAAAAACACAGAACTCTGACCTGGCTGTCTATACCATGTAGAATACTGTGCAGCATACCTGAGTTCTTATAATTGGAGACTAGTTAATTTGTTATGGAAGAATGAGATTAGAAAATCAAACAATTGAGTATAATAGAAATGCTCTCTCCTCCTTTCTGTACAGAACCAGTTGTAGGGGAAACAGTTTGGCAAACTTTTACAGAGAAGTTATCTTGGTTTTTAAACCAAGCGTGGGCCTACTTACCATTTGATTTTAGCTGTTTTTTGGAATGAAGATAACTCTCTAGCAACCTTTCACTGAACAGCACGTATCCCATTGGTTCGGAAATGATCACATGTACAGCCTCAGGAAGTGAGATGTCGTCAATTTTTTCCTGGCAAAACAATGATCTTGTCTGAAAGACGATTGTTTTTCACTAGCATCTGAAAAAGATAAAACAGGGTGCCAGAAATGTTGTTATTCAGAATCTTATGAAAAATGAGTTTTATAGATTAAGGGTTGAGAATGTGACAGGAAGGAGAAAGAAGTAACACTTGTTTCTATAAACACTTCTAAAGAAAAATTATTTATTTTTCTTATTACACAAAAATTGCATGTTTAATATAGATAATTTTGGAAAAGATACAGATATAAAACAAATAAAAACACCTATAATCCTACTAGATAGAAATAATTATTAATATTTTAATGTACTCATTTCTAGACTCTTTACACAAACATACACATATATGTGTAAAAATGGCAGTATGTGTAGTCTGTGTGTGTATATACATACAAATATATATTTGGGGTGATTTTTAAAACTCATGGATTCAGTTTATTTCCCATTGTTCTACTTGCAATAGAGATGTCAAACAACTCTGTACAATAACCTTCCACAGATTAAAAATCTTTTCTGTTTTGCTTGGTTTTGAGATAGGGTCTCACTTTGTAGCCCAGGCTGGAGGGCAGTGGTGTGACCATGGCTCACTGCAGCCTCAACCTCCTGGGCCTGAGTGATCCTCCACACCTCAGCCTCCCAAAGTGCTGGGATTATAGGTGTGAGCCACTGCACCCAGGCCAATGATCTTGATCCTTATTAAATTTTTCCTTGGTCTTTTGATGTCAAAGATAAATACCATGATTACTGAGCTTTCTTTAGGAGTACATTTTTACAGTCATGTATTAATTTTCTTTGACATCCTTGATATTTTAATAAATTTAAACTGTTTTAAAATAGGGACCCTGAAGAGAAATACATTTATTATGTTTCTAATGTATTTCTTCTGAATGCCAAATGTGACTAGGTGATTGAATTATTCTATGTCTTTCTGATGCCTGAAAACATATTTTCTAATAAACATCTTACATATGCCAGCATAAATATATACAGCACGTTCCTTTTCAAGTTGTTCCTTTTTGAGACTTGCAGATCTTTGCTCATGGTATTTATAGCCTGTCAGCGTCCATCCATTTTGTATGTTTGGAGTTTAATCCCTTTGGCCAACCTAAATGCAATGTACCATGCACTTGTTATGATTCAGTGGCACCTTCTCAATTTCTGATCACTTCTTCAAATGGCTAGGAAACTTATAACATTTAATCCTATCTTCTAGAGTGCTGCTCACCAACACATGCCCTGTTAGCATACAAAATGTCTTTCTTACTTTGCTTTTAAAAATCAGATAATCTCTGATCTCTGGAAGAATAATGAAAGCAATTTGAACATGTCATCCAATGTCAATATTCATCCATGCCCAACAACTCTTAGACTTTTAGAATGCTATTCTATCATCATTCCACACACAGAAGTCAAGTCCCTGGGAGTTCTGCAGAGACAAGGACTAAAGGTTTGAGCTTTTGGCATCCTGATTTTCTCTCTATGCTCTTCCCAGGAGAATCAATTCTCCTGCCCAGCTCTGACTGTGGCTCCATTGCGAATGACTGTCCAAGCTACACCTTTAGTTTTGTCCTCTCAGCTGAGTTCCAACAATAAACTGAACATTTTCACGAGTGAATTTTGTCAATTTCTAAATAACAACTAAACAGCAAAACTCAGCTGCTTCTTGAACACAAATCACTTCTCTGAGTTTGCCCTTAAAATCTTTGTGAGATACTGTGTTTCCATGATTCTGTTTTGGTTGTTAATACCACAATCCCCAATGTCCTGGAGGTAATACTTAGTTCCCACAGATAATTCGTTATTATATTTTCTTATTTCTACCTTTTAGACATATTTACTTTCTACTTTCTTCTGCCAGCACCAACTTGTTCAGTTCTTATTATCTTCAAATATGGAATTTAAAATGACATTGATATAATGAAAGCAATGATGGCAGAGACTACTTCATAGGTTTGTTTGAGGATCATACCAAATAAAACATATTAAGAGCTATATAAGCATTAAAATTATTATGTTATTTTTATTAAAAAATATTTTTGGCTGGGTCCGGTGGATCACATCTGTAATCCCAGCATTATGGGAGGCTGAGGTGAGCAGATCACTTGAGGTTCAGGAGTTTGAGACCAGCCTGGCCAACATAGTGAAACTCATCTCTACTAAAAATACAAAAAAAGTTAGTCAGACATGGAAGCACACGCCTGAAATGTCAGCTACTGAGGAGGCTGAGGTGGGAGGACCCCTTGAACTCAGGGAAAGGAGGTTGTAGTGAGCTGAGATTGTGCCACTGTACTCCAGCCTGGGTGACAGAGTGAGATTCTATCTCAAATATATATATATATATATGCCTTTATATACATATACATATATATATACTTTTCACTTAAAAAGATAAATGCAAATAAACAAAACCATAAAAATTACTAGTATTCCATATGTAGGCAAGGTAGATTTTCAATCAGACATTGGAGTATATCTCAAATCTTAATGTAATAATAACTTGTAATTTTTTTCCCTGCAATACATTTTAGATCAGTTTTCTGAACATTTTTACATCATGGCACACATTTAAAAAAAAACAAATAATTTTATGGTATACTTGGGTAAAAGAAGAACCTGCTTGCCTTTTTTTTTGAGATAGAGTCTTGCTCTGTCACCCAGGCTGGAGTGCAATGGCATAGTCTTGACTCACTCCAACCTCCGCTTCCTAGGTTCAAGCGATTCTCCTACCTCAGCCTCACAAGTAGCTGGAATTACAGGCACCTGCCATCACATCCAGCACATTTTTGTATTTTGAGTAGAGACAAGGTTTCACCATGTTGGCCAGACTGGTCTCAAACTCCTGATCTTGTGATCCCCCCCTCCGTTGGCCTCCCAAAGTGCTGGTATTACAGGTGTGAGCCACTACACCTGGCATTTTGAGACATTTGAATGAAGGACTCTGGTCACAGTAGACCCTGACTACCTGCCATAAGGGCAAAGGATACCAAAATTTCAGTACCTGGCATACTTGTTGGGAAGCTCTGTTTTACACATCTTTCCATGAATGGTTCTATAACATAAATTTATTGGCTATACAGCATTTCATAAATGTGTATTGATTTATTTATTTGATATCTCCTATAATTGGATATTCAAGTTATTTCAAATTTCTACTAAAATAGTGTATTGACAAATAATAACGCAATTAAATCTGAAAAGGTACTTTCTGCTATTTCCTTTAAAGTTAAAGGGTATAAAACTGGTAAAGGTTTTTGGTATACACTATCCCACTGCTTACCAGAAAGGTGGTCCCCTTTCTAAATTTCAAGCCCTCTCTAAATTCTGCTTATAGGGTCTACGGCTGTCCAGATAACCTCAATGTATAAAATTGCTTCTTTCTACAGACTCATTAACTCGGAACAGGATGCTGGAAGGGGACCTGTTCTCTAAGTTTTGCTGGAGGGCGCAATATAATAAGATATTCCCCTGAATATCTGTGATGTAGGCCTTATATGCAGAATTTAGAGAGGATACTCCTAGACTCTTGAATCTTCAGGGACAGAAGAGATGTAATAAGGTTTCAGAGCGAGGATTTTGTGAGCTTTCAGAAGTATAATTTTGGGTACACAGGAAATAATTTTAGGTCTCATTATTCTCACTGGTAAAAAAAAAATATATCACATGCCTAGAAGGGAACAAATAGGCCTGCCTTCAGGCCACTGCATCTTGTGACTTAATCTAGTTTTGATCAGTTTCACACAAGATCGGGAATCTAGAGATTAAAATTCCAGCTCTACTTTTATCACCAAAGAGCTATGTGACCTTGGGGAAGTCACTTAAATCTAAATTTTAGTTTTCTTTCTTGTAAAATTGGGGCTTAAAACTGGAGTTGTCTTGAGGCTTCTTCTAGTTTGAATATTTTATGATTAGGAGAAAGCAAAATTTCTCCAAATATGTTCCAGGAGTCCATGAACACAAGAGCTTCATGATCAAATAACTTAGAACTTCTTTGTAATATATATCCCTCTTACAAATTCAGAGTACATTAGCATATTAATAGTTTTGAGGAATTCTACAGAAAACTCTTGGCTTGGTTAAATTAAAGACATCCAAACTTATTTGAATACTCTGCAGTATTTTTCCCCCCACTGGATATATATGCATCTCCCTAGATCAATCTTTAGGAAACAATGAAGATAATTATTTCATTATCCTAGGTTTGATTACAATTCCTTGACAAAGATATTTGAAAATAGGACATAAATTCAACCAGCAGTAGCTCTGACTAATATATTAGGGCCGCTAAGTCTAGACGCATGACTGTTTTTTGAGTCAGTCTTGCTGCCTCACTTCTTCTTTGGTTTATAACATTCTCAGTATAGGTTATCTTTTGCTTGTCTGTCATTTCATACGCCATCCTTCCAAAACTGCAACTCAGGAGAAATATCCTTTCCAGGAATAAATGAACTTCACTATGCTGCTACAAGTGCTAGAAAAGTCCCCTAACACAGAGCAAGGTTCCATCATCCACCACATTAATTGCTGCACAGGTCTACCCTGTGTGACCTGGTCCTTTTCTAAGAGCCCAGGATGGAGGGATATTCCAAATAAAGGCTCTTCTCAGACATCATCAAGGCCCAAGCAAACTCACATCATACTCTTGCTTTAATCCTGTTTCCCTGTTATTAAATTGGGTTTCTAAAGTATATGTCAATAGTACTGTCATTTGTATCCACTGCTTAGAACACATACATACACATGTACATGCATACTTTAGATGGTAGCAGCAGTAGAATTCATCCTTTTAAATACCAGGGTAAGTTCCAAGGTAGATCAAGGCAGTAATTCCACCTGGTATGCTGCTGTTCTTGTCTCATTTAGGAGGGTTTTCAGTAAGTTACATGTGCTACAGATGTGTTGTTTGTTTATTCCTGTTCAGTTCAGAAGCTGAATTAGTCTTAGAGGCTGTACTATACAATATAGCAACTATTTATAGTCTGTCTCAAAGCATGGAAAAAGCAAACATTTTGGAGGTGAAAGACTTGGTTGCTAGTTTTGGAT